AGAAATTTAATAATATGATTATTTAATTTGATTAAATAAAATCTTTCCTATCTGCCTTATACTAATAGGATATAAGATTATGCCTATAAACCTCATAATATTGTAATGATTTTGTTTTTACCATATCATTTGCTGATATTATCAGTTACATCCAATTTCTCTCCTATTTAATTAAGTCAACAATTTACTAGAGGCTTCTCGAAGAAAAGCGGATAAATGTTCACCAACAATATACTAGTAATGCAAAAAGGAACAAAAGCATTTAATGGGTATAATGAATATGAAGTTTCATCCAGCAATGCATAAGCAAGACTAAGAGTTAGCGGAAAAAGAGTGAGAGTTTTAAATAAAATATAAATTATAGAATATTTTCCGTTTCAGCTGAAAACAATAAAGGATTTATATTTCCAATCCCCCCACTAACTTTTCTTCAAGAAGCCTAGGAAATTGTTGACTGATTTAAAGAGAAATTGAATATAACTGATGATATTAGCAAGTGATGACATCGTATTACAAGATTTATAGGCATAGCAACTGTTAAACGGCTCATTACAATATGTATAAAATAAAATAAGATAATTCTAAAGAAAACTATATTTTCATTAATTTACCAGATAACTCCTATATTTAAAATTATATATATTGGTCTCGAAGTTAAGAGGAAGCATATGAAAGAATCCATAGACCATCAATTATCGATGGAGAAAAGAAATCCCAGCATCGCCGTGGTTCCATGTCTAGGCTTCGACCATCTAATCCCACTCATAGAGCTTGCAAACGACTTGTCATTCATCTTCCTCATGTCCATGTCAATCTCTTCATCCCAACCCTTGGCCCTCCCTCCACAACCACCTATTCCATCCTTCAATCACTTCCTCCCCACATAGATTGCACTATTCTTCCACAAGTGAATCAAAACGACATCCCTCATACTGCCATCCATCCAGCTACACAAATGCATCGTACTGTCATGCTATCTCTTTGTTCACTTCATGATGCTTTGAGCTCATTAAAATCTCAAACTCGAATTGTTGCTATGATTGCCGATTTCTTCCCAATGGATGTATTACAAATTGTGAAGCAGTTCAACCTCAAATCATATATTTACTATTTTGGAGGAGCTAGGACATTGTGTTTCTACCTTAATTTTCCCCAACTTGACAACGATCACGACACTGTTTCCACAGGTTTTCAGGAACTATCACAACCTTTGAAACTCCCAGGTTATAAAGCTCTCTCTTCTTCTTTAATGGAACTAATTAATAGCTTTATTAGAGATTTTTTTTAAGCCTGAAATCTATCAGAAGTTAACTGATGGGACTTCTTTTCAGGTTGCATAGCTTTTCATGGAAAGGATCTTCCTGACACAGTTCAGGAAAGATCAAGTGAATCTTACAAAACAGTTCTCCACATATGTAAACGGTTTGATTTTGCTAATGGGATCATAGTGAATAGCTTCCAAGAATTGGAGCGAGAGGTAATAACGGCTCTACAAGAAAGTAATATTAAACTCCCACCTGTTTATCCATTGGGCCCTATTTTGCGAATCGAAGTAATTAAGCAAAACGAGTCAGACTCGAAGTGTTTAACATGGTTGGACAATCAACCATGAAACTCAGTTCTATACGTCTCTTTTGGAAGTGGTGGAACACTGTCAGTTAAACAACTTCACGAACTTGCTTTAGGGTTGGAGATGAGTGGCCACAAGTTCTTGTGGGTAGCGAGAGCTCCAAGCGAGTCTGTTTCTTTGGATTATTTAACTGTAAAAAAGGAGGGCCCGCTTGATTATTTGCCAAAACGGTTTATTGAAAGAACCAAAGATCAAGGGCTTGTGGTCCCATCATGGACCCCACAGATCCAAGTCTTGACACATGAGTCCACTGGTGGGTTTTTGACTCAGTGGTTGGATCTCCACCCTTGAAAGTATACTCTATAGGAAGCCAAAGATTGCATGGACACTATTTGCAGAGCAAAGAATGAACGTTGTGTTTATAACTGAGGAGTTGGAGATTGCTTTAAGGCCAAAAGAGAATGAAAATAATAATGGAATTGTGGAGTAAGAGGAAGTTTGTAAAATTGTGAAGAGACTAATGGAAGGTGAGGAAGGGAAAGAAATGGGCAGAAGAATTCAGGTTCACAAGGATGCTGCTGTTAAAGCTCTTAGTGAAGATGGTTCCTCTACTAAGACCCTCGTTTTCCTATCTCTTGAATGGGAAAGTTAGGAGTGGCAAGTGGAAAAATACGAGCCTGGAATGATTTTAATGATCACTTTGAGCAGTACGAGGTTTCTGTTTTATCTTTTACTGCATCTTTTTTCTGGAAATATTCATATAAAGTCAAGAGTTATGTCAACTTGGCCAGACGGAAATGATTTAATTCGAATGATCATAGCCCCTATCTTGGATGCATGGATGCTATTGCTATATATGTACTAAATGCCATAGCCTCTTATCTTGGAATAAAAAGGGACTATATATTAAATTCTTAATTTTCTTCTATTACTTACTTATGATCGAGCTTCTTTAAAATCCATTCCCTCTCCTTCCTTCTCTTCCATGTAATCTTTTCGCCTTTATAATTCGTTGAACAAAATTTATCTTACAAGCCATCGCTAATGGTGGTTTTTGGACATGGAAGCTTTGTTTTTTTTTTTTTATGGGTTAATATAAATTTTGATTCTTCTAGTTCTCATGAACTGTGGCTTTAGTCCATCAAGTTTCAAATTATAGGTTTTGGTTCTTTAAAAGGTAAAATGGTCCAAGTCTTTACTAAATTATATGGATAAATGTTTAAGATAAAAAGAAACCTGAGCGACCAAAATTTATGATTTAAAACTTGAGAGACCAAAATCAAAATGAGGACAAACTTATGGAACCAAAAATTATATTAACTCTTTTTTTTCCTATCCTCTTCTGCAGCTTAAATTTGTCACACTTCTCTAATGTTTTTTTTCCCCTTCTTATTTTGTTATGATCAAATTCTACATAAAAAGAATGAAATTTTGATATCTTTTGGGAAAAGAATAGTATCATCAGTTTTATTTTATTTTTCAAAGTAAAAATACTCCAAAGATTGGTGACGTGTTCCTTTTAATTTAGATGCAAATTCCTTGGACCATGAAAAAAATCGAAAAATGCTTCAATTTTTGCTCATCAGATATCAAATTTTCTCTTATTTTACATAGAATCTAATAATAAAAAGAAATTAAAAAAATATATGGAAAGTAGGAGAAAATTGAGGAGCAGCAGACACCCCAAACCGGTGGATTTTGATGTGTTTATGGTCATCTGCCCCCTCCATCGATGGTGACGTGATGGTTCACGATGGCTGCGCATATCGCATAATTCATCAGTACCCATCAAAGCAATTAGACAAAATAAAGCGAAACAAAACAAGAAACAAAGAATGGAAGAAAGTAATGAAGGGTCCAATAATGCTACAATTGGAGGCATTCTTCTGATAAAGTAGAGATGCTTGTATATTTGTTAATTATTAATCGGGAAGGAATATCTATCATATCTTCACTTGTTGCAATATTATATTGGTCAAGTAATAAGGAACAACTCCCGGCTCACGAGCTTCACATATCGGGAAAGCTCGAAGTCCATAGTTACTGATATTAATTAATATGATTTTGATGGCCTTTCACAAACCGACATAACAATCCACATCAACTAGCAATTTTTACATTGAAATACTCTTACTAATTAAGCAAGCTTAGAAGAATACTAATTGAGATAGTTAATAGTACCTCTTCTTAATATAATATATATTTAACTAATTTAAGTAGATTAAATAAAGTAGTTAAATTAGTTATTTATCAAAAATATGTGTTAGTTTTCTTAAAAAAATACCCTCTCAAATCATTTGGATTGAAACTATCCTTTGATTTAAACTCCCTTAACATGTATGCAATCAATAGGCTTAGTTTAGATAAATAAGGGAAGACAAAATGGATTGGGATCTTATATTTAAAACCAAATTTAATTCCCTATTAGCTCTTATATTAAGGACAAATATAATAATAAAAACTAGGGTTAATATAATCTTTGGTCTCTCAAATTTGTTCTCATTTTGGTTTTAGTCCATCAAATTTCAAACCATAGGTTTTGGTCCTTCAAGAGATAAAATGGTCCAAGTCTTTATTGGATTATGGAGACTAATGTTTTAAATGAAAAGAAATTTAAGAGGCCAAAACTTACTATTTGAAACTTCAAAGACCAAAACCAAAATGAGGATAAACTTGAAAAACTAAATTTTGTATTAACCCTAAAAGCTATATTTTCAACAATTTCCCAGTTGAACCATATGTGTAAAGGTGTATATCATGTAGAGTCTCAAAGTTGAAAAGAAGCACTCTGTGATGAAGCAACCAGCTGATTATCGATCTTCCATGGAGAAAAGAAGTCCTTGCATTGCCATGGTTCCATCCCTAGGTTTGGGCCATCTAATCCCACTCGTACAGCTTGCAAAATGACTTGTCGTTCACCTTGCTCGCTTCCATGTCACTCTCTTCATCCCAACACTTGGGCCTCCCTCCAAAACTACGTATTCCATCCTTCAATCTCTCCCTCCTCATATAGATTTTACTATTCTTCCACAAGTGAATCAAAATGACATCCCTAAAAGTGCCGTCCATCCAACAACACAAATCCATCATACCATGATGCTGTCTCTTCCATCACTTTAAGATGTTTTGAGCTCTTTGAATTCTTGAACTCACCTTGTTGCTATGATCACAGATTTGCTGTCAGTGGATGCGTTAGAAATTTCCAAGCAATTCAACCTCAAGTCACATGTTTACTATGCTTCGAGAGCAACTTCATTGTGTCTCGGCTCAATTTCCCGAACATGACCAAGATCACAACAAGGTTTCTACGGGCTTCTGAGAGCTATCACAACCTTTGAAACTCCCAAGTCACAAAGCTTTCTTTTTCTTTCCTGCTTTAATTAAACTAAATAACTATCAAAAATTAACTCATGGAACTTCATTTCTACAGGTTGCATAGCCTTTCATGGCAAGGATCTCCCTGACATAGTTCAAGAAAGATCAAGTGAATCCTACAAAACAATTCTTCACATTTGTAAACGATTCAATTTTGTAGATGGTATCATAGTGAATAGCTTCTTAGAACTAGAATGAGAGGTAATAACCATTCTGCAAGAAAATTATAATCATAAATACCCTACAGTTTATCCTTTGGGGCCCATTTTATAGATAGAATTGGCAACCACAAATGTGTTAACCACAGATTGCTTAACATGGTTAAACAATCAGCCACAAAACTTAGTTCTATATGTTTCTTTTGGGAGTGTTGGAACACTGTCACATGACCAACTTCACCAACTCGCCTTAGGATTAGAGATGAGTGGGCACAAGTTCTTGTGCGTTGTGAGAGCACCAAGTGAGTTTGCTTCTTCAGTTTATTTTGAGGGCAAAATAGGAGGACCCACTTGATTACTTGCCAAAAGGTTTTATTCAAAGAACCAAGGATCAAGGTTTTGTGGTCCCATCATGGGCCCCACAAATCCAAGTCTTGAGACACAAGTCTGTTGGTGGGTTTTTGACTCAGGTTGGAACTACATGCTTAACGGTGTTTTCTATGGCAAGCCCAAGATTGCACGGCCACTATTTGCAGAGCAGAAAATGAACGCAGTGTTGTTAGCCGAAGAATTGAAGATTGCTGTGAGGCCAAAGGAGAATGAAAATGGTGGGATTATAGTGGTTTCTAGAATTGTGAAGTGTGTGATGGAAGGTGACGAAGGTAAAGAAAGCAGCAGAAGAATCCAAATGTTTAAGGATGCTGCTGTTAAAGCGATGGGAGAAGATGGTTCTTCTATGAGGATGCTCAATAGTTTAGCGTTCGAAATTTTGAATTGAATAATCTTAATTAGTAGCAAAAGTAGAAAAATGTAAGTCTTTAATTTTAATGTATTTTATTGTTAATTACATATTTTTGCTTAGTGGCGTAAAGATAAGGCTTTCTCATATAAGTAAGACTTGTGTCAATCTCCAACAAAGTTGTAAGATTATATATACATTGCCCCCAGAACTACTTAACTAATTTGAGTAGATTAAGAAAATTAGTTAAGTTAGTTATTTGTAACAAATATAAGTTAATTTTTCTAAACTGCACTTTTAATCATGACTACCTTGGGATGAAAATCCCTTGACATGTGTATTTAATAAGGATACTTTAGAGAATAAATTACAAATTTGGGAAATGAAGTATATTAAGATATTATATTTAAAACCAAATCTAATCTCCAAGTAACCATTATATTAAGTATCGAGGGTAGCATGTGTATATGTGTATGGTCCCTAGGCACCCTTCGCATAAGCATGCGCACATAATTTCTTTATTCTACATTCAAAATCAAAAGAACACATGTTTGAGCACTGTTACAGTTGAGGTAAAATTAAAGAGATTAATATTTAAAAAATTTAAAAATAATCTGAGTAATAGATGGTAGCCTCCTTGGTTGATTAGCATAAAGAATCCATCAAATTTGCAATATTTTAAACCATAAGTCAGTTTGATTATAAATGTTTTTCGTGGATTGTCATCTTATTCAAACATTCACGCGCAAGTATATTTTTCATCCTATCAAATTCGAACAGAGCTTGTCATAAACTGTACGCGTGCCAACAGTATTTCATTTTTCTTCATCCAAGAACATACGCTTGAGGAAATTCAAGCATTTGATGATTTCAAATTAAAGAGATCCATTGTTTAGATGTTAAAGAGATCTATAATTAAAACTTATACTTTAATGTGTGTGTATGTCTATGTATGACATTTAATAAATTCACCACAAAATTAAACAAAGTTATATTTGAAATTTTCAATTTTGATTTTTAAATATGTATAATCACTTTTAAATTTTAAATTATATAATATACATAAAAATTTTAAAATTATAATTCTTAAATAATGTTTAGAGTTAAGTTGGATTTCTACTTCTATATTATTTTTAAGCGAAATGGTCAGCTTCAGTTTTTTCCCCCATTAGTGAATAAAAAAATTATACATAAGGCCCTAAAAGATTACATATAGTTGACTAATTAAAAAAATCATTAACAATTAAACTCAAACCGACTAGTATGCATCTATATCTACCACTCTGTGTGTAAGTCACTTGTAGGAGAAATGTTTATTCTTAAATAAGTCATTTGTTCGGTAATCAATCACTTTTGTTTTCCAATTTCACCTTTATTCAATACAATAAAAAAAATGTGAGAGAAAATGTACAGCATATATTTTATACCCTATCTTTAATACGGACAATGTGGAAAATTTTATCAATTTAATACATTCCGTTGTATGGGAGAATGGGGTACAAGTGACTTACATACTGCAACACCTGACTTTCTAATACTAATAGGGTCATTTTAATGTCTGTGAATCACAAACGCCAGGTTTCCGACCAAGGAAAAGATAGGGAAGTTTTTTTTTTCCCCCTTCAATATTAGAATCCGTCGATCAAACGTTTCAAACCTTTAGAATAACTGACGAGTGATCCACCATCAACCTTGCTTTCAACTTAATCTATTATTACCTAGAATGATTTCATACTGTACAATCTCATAATATTATATTAAAAAATATAGCAACCATCTTGGTTGACAACACATACTTGCATGTGGCAGTGCTCTCCTCTTTATGAAATATACAAAATAATATTTACATAATGCAAGTAATAGTTACTTGCCCATATAAGATATATAATAGAATAAATAATAACTTATCAAGATATTTTGCTGCATAGGTACAGAATATAATAGGCATCTCTGCTCTTCAACCAGCTTACCTTCTTCTTAAATAACCTTCTTATCCTTTAAACTACTAGCCTTCACTGTTCATCATAAATGGGAGGGTGAGATTCTAAAGAATTCCTATAGTAGTAATTTTTATCAAACAAATGTGCAGATTACATAAAGCATGCAAAACAAGCCAAAGTGAAACATAACCTTGCAAGCTAATGCAGTTAAGCATTTATGCACAATGACAGATAGACAAACTGAATAAATAATACGCAAATAATTGGCTGATACTGCCCCATGTCTATCAGCTACACGTGATCACGACTAAATAATCTATGCAAGGAAATAAGGATTACATATTCTCATGCTTTAAACAGCAATATGACACAAACAGATATGCAGCAATCATGCACAAGTGTAAAGTAGAAAAGAACTATTACCGGGTCTGCTTCCCTCCAAATAAAACCTTACCATTCTCCTTTCTTCCTGCTTCTTGGTGAGCTTGAGAATATATCAAAACCTATCATGTTTGTAAGGGTAGATCAATATTTGATCCAACTGTAATTCATAAATTCAATAACTCTCTTTAAATCTCAAATCTTCTTTAATCTCTACCCTTACATAACAGTTGGTCATCCTGGACAATTTTTCTTATTCAAACTATTCTCTTTGGAACGCTTCCTTCCTTAATTATCTCAACCCATACAATTACTTTACTTAGTAACTGGTCATCTTGGTCAAATATAATATATATATATATATATATATATATTATACACTTATAATCACACCAATTGATTTTATTTCATTTTTCCAAAATAATACTATAAGCTCTAGCTCTAAGCTTTTATTCACAATTAACTTAATACTTATTATTTAAATCCAAGCTAAGCAATTCAACCTCTATACATCCTTCAATCACCTTAATTTTAAATTTACAGTCCTTAAACAACCATTCTCAAATTCTATTAATTACAACTTTTATCCCATATTAATCTTTGGCTGTGTCATTAAAAGTTTCCCTGATGTGTACCTTTGAAATAATTTATAAATATCATGGTTATTAATCTACCTGTTAAAAATTTCCAACCACCATTTGGAAACCTCAATCATACCTCAAATCAACAATATGGAGTCCCTATTTAAATAACCTAAAATCATAACTGATTATAAACCATATTTTTAATCCCTTTATTCTCCTTCAATTTCATTCTTAATCTCTTTATAATTCAAACACCGAAACCAATATTACATCAACAATCCAAGCTTGTCATCCTATCTTGATCTCTCATTTTCTCTTTCCCACAAACATCTAAATATTTCATTTGCTCATATTTATTCAAAACCAAACAGTGACTCTTTAGCTAATTAACTCACCCTTTCTTCCCTATTTAAATGTCATTTCCATGAACCCATAACTCTATTCTTCTTTAATCTCCCTCGGTCTCAAATCCATTTCACCCATACCACCTCCTATTTCCACTATCTTACATGCTATACTCTCAAGTGTCATAACAGCTAACATCCACCGGTATATATATATATATATGTGTGTGTGTGTGTGTGTGTGTGTGTGTGTGTATGTAAGTTTCAGTTTGTTCTTCCCTTTTTATTCGGCCACCGCCTAGCCTATAAATATATCAATAATAACTCCACGGTTACAACCTTTCCTCAATTACTTTCAGACCCAAAACACCTATACCCGTGGACACACACACACATATAAAATCATGCCTAAACTTCCTCCCAAATAACCATTTCAATTTCAATGTTTTCCACTCCATAATTCTCACGGCTTTCCCATATATATATACACACACACACTCCAAAATCTCTGTTCCGCCTAACCAAAAATTAAGCACTCACTCTCATGCAACAACAAATAATGCAACTACATGCTTCTACCTAAATAACATAGCGTCTCCACCAACAACCATAGTCTCTGTTTTTGACAGCAATAACAGAGGAAGAACAAAGCATATATAACTACCAAAAACATACTCCTATAACTAAGTGCCTGTTTGGCAGAGCTTATTTTGGGCAATAAGCAGCTTATTTTGAGGAAAAGCTCAATTGAAAAATTTCATCCTGTTTGGCACAGCTTGTAAGGCATCGAGCTTGAGGGTTAAAAGCTATGGAAACGTACGATTGAAAATAAGCTCAGGAAGGGAGCTTATTTGAAGAAGCTTATGGACCGTTATTCTCTTTTTATTTTTCTCTCTGATAACCAAAAAATATCTCTGATGCTAAGACCCTAAGATGTCGTCAGAAATCTTCATTGTGCCACCATTGGAAATCTGAGGATGAGAATCTTGATTTTGTTGATGATACTCCCAAAGACAGCGACGAGAGCAAGAATCACAACACTCCATTTGCAAAAG